GTTTTCCATTGGTTGGCCAAATGGGTAGCCCCACCCCCAAACTCACCTCATTGGTTGAGCCCAAACACACTGCAATTCCATTTGGTGCCACTAGTGGTGCAAAATTTTACATTTCTCATTTAAATTTCTTCATCTATACAAGTCGATCTTTTTTTACAGTAAATAAAATACAAATATTTATACAATGATGTTTTGTTGATGTCATCAGTGTAGTGAGAACTTCAGGATTTGACTTTTATGACTATGTGTAATAGTGTCAAAGCTCACTGTGTTTGCAAGGGTGGATTTTAGGTTAGCAAGTTAATGATTGTGACGAGTGGGGCGGGGCTGAGAGCTGTGACGCGAGTGATAATGAGCATCACCTGCCTCGCTCCGTTCCCACAGCTCTCGCTTCCGTGACGAACCTTTAACAACCATGGAACATTCCAATGCACAAAAGGTTCTTTATAGTAGAACAGCAAGACAAAATGTTTTTTTTTAAGAACGTTTCACTTAAAGATTTCAAATCTCTAAAGTCATCTTGGAAATGTTTTTTTCGGAACGACTTAAACGGGCACTCCTCAACAGAGGGATAAAGCTGACATACCACAATGTTTATCACAGGACAAGGAAATCAAATCATATATACATTTATTGAAGCATGCCTCGCTCCGTTCCCACAGCTCTCGGCCCCGCCCCACTCGTCGCAACCATGTTTTTTTATTAAGAGACAAGGACACCCTTCATGCCAGGCTACAATATATTCTCACCACATGGTATGAGGAAGCTGGCAAAAAAAAAAAGTCACTGATGCCTTCACTATATTCCTATTGAGCAGCAGAAGGGCTTGCAAAGACTGAAAAAGAAGAAGAAAAAAACAAATAACTTAAAACACCATTTCCTGCATTCAAGGGATTTATAAACAACATTATTAACTGTGTAATACTTGGACCAACATTAATATTACTGTTTGTAAATTGTACGTCAAGGTTACATTCCTGTGAGAATTCTTACCGAGTCACGATCTTATTAGTATCGTATTAGGCTGTACCCTGGCTCTGCTACGGTTGAGTATAAAGGATCATCTGAAGGATGAAAGATGCAACAAGAATTGAGAATTAAAAAAACATGCAGAAGAGAACGTACATCACATTGCTATATGCATATAATATTTTCATACTTCCTGCAGTTGGTGGTGGAGGTGCTGCTGCTCTCCTGAAATAATACACAGCAAGACGTAAGGTCATATTAAAGCTAATGGTCATATTTACATAAGAAATGAAATAAACTAATCATTGAATGGTAAATCTGCAAGGAGTGAGGGCTCACCTGCCAGCTGTGGGAAGTGAACGAGTGGGAACCGATCTCTGATTATTGTAGAAGTTTTCATATGGAACAGGTGCTGAGAAAAGATCAGTTTAATAAAGTTTGACCCGACAAAAAATGTCATCAGACTCATATTTGAGTGGAACTCAAGAAAGAAAGTTCATGCTGCTCTTTTCTTTACAACAGACCGTCAAGCTCTGATAAGAACAAAAAGGCAGCATAAAAGCAGGATTATAGTTAAACTAAAAATGAAACCATTTAAAAAAAAAAGCTGTTACTTAAAATAAAACTTTGACTGAAATAAAATAAAATAAAAATACAAAAAAAAATAAATAATTTTCAGCTAAATGCCAAGGCAATATTTCTTGTTTTAATTTAGTTTAACTTGATGTACTAAAATACTAAAACTGGAATAAAATTAATAAAAACTATTTAAACAAAACAAAAAAAACTACTAAAAATGACTAAAACTTTAAAATGAAAATGGAAAATATAAAAATTAGAACGGATTAAAAATATTATAAAAAAACTATAATATTACCTCAATGATGCTAAGATAACTCTGCATAAAAGTAGACCCTTCAGAAGATACATGATAGGTTTTTTTTTTTTTTGAAGAAAGACAGAAATGTAAAGCATTATTCATTGAAAATCACCCCCACTACCTCAAATCTCATTTGTGCGTGAGCATATTTTAGTTCGGAATGGTCTAGGTTTGACATCAATGTCTTGTAATCAAACACAATGCATCAAATTGGAACATGTGGAATCATAAAAGAGATTTTCAGTTAATAGTACCTTTGAACTTTTCATGGACAAAGTCATATGGACTCATTTTATGGAGCTTTTATGATGCTTTTTGTCGTTTCAGAAAAAAAAAAACATTCATAATGAAATTAACTGAATTTTAATTTCTATTCAAATTAGAGCTAAAAAATTTTGCACTGTAAAGATCCATTGTCAGTAGTACTGCAATGTATGAAGCACAGCACACAAAAAAGGCACTTTCAAACCAAGTAACTTTCTGCTGGTCAACACTGTTGGTTCATGTGACCAGCTTCATGCAAGATCTGTGGGGAAATCTTTCGCCCTCATTCAGAATTTGTTGCAGTGATTCCATTTGAAACAACTGGATTTCATCAGTGAACGTGGCCACACCTTAATGTGCTGTTGTGAAAACCTGCTGCTGAGAATACCTGGTGGTTTGTCTCCGGTTCGTCTGAGGTTGATAAAATGCTCAATGTCTTCTTGAATGTTACATTGCTCCAGTGACTTCCTCACTTCCTCATAGAGCTGCGTGACACAGATACACTTGGTGAGGTGGGTTCCATATGTGGGTCCTACCTGATGCCGCAGTCAGGTTACCTCATCGCTGGTGACACACTGCTGGGAGAGATGGTTGAGATGGGTCCACACAACGTTTCTCAGGGTGTTAATCCTCTCCACTTCCTGTTTCTCAAAAAACTGTGGCAACATGCACATGAGATGTCAAAGTAGAACGATCATAATAGCCCCATAAAATGTCTTTACTCATTCAGTTCAACTTGTTAAAGCATGTTTTTATTCAGGCATTTTATGTGTAATTGACTAGTTTTGTTTGACCTTTAATTGTTTTACAGTCAACATGAAAAGCCATTTACAACCCATTTTCAGGAGGTACGCAAGCTTCACATGACCTGGCATGATCACGTTTGATTTGTCATTGATCTGATGTGAAAAGCGATCATTGGTGTTGGGGTGTGTGATGCAGGCTGGGGCGCAGAGCTCACCTCACAGGCTTTGACATGCTCGTTCAGCCACTCCTCTCTCATCTTCCCCAACAAGGACACATTCTGACTATATATCCGGTCTATTATGGAGTTGAACAAACAAAGGACATTAAAATTAGAAATGAAATAGAAGAGTTATGCTGTGTTTAGGGCTGGGCAATACAGCTAAATAGTCACATCGCAATAATTTTCAGCCTTTCGATGATATTTAAATCAAATCTTAATATTTATGTTATATAGCTGCAGCATTATTTTAACAAAACAGACAAGTTAAAAATGTTTTTTACACTGTTTTACTAAATGAGCAATGATACACATTTATATAAACTAATATAACAACATATAGTAATATAAACTACATACATTTCTTTAAAACATTTTTTCCTAACAATTCTGGTTGCTTACTTATTTGATTTGATTTGATTTTACTAATCTAATTCTAATAATAATTTTACTAATCTAATCTAAAATCTAATTCCACTGCCAAATGATTAGATCATTTTGATTTTCTTTTCAAAGACTTTTCTTTTTAGAAGCAGCATAAATACAGTCCAATAATTGACCTTATACTAATAATACTAAACAACCATTTTTCATTAATTCATTTATTTTTGTCAAAATACTTCTGACAAAATTGATAAAGCCAATCTGGTACTAAACATATAGACATATGAACAACCAGTCCATAACTGCGTAAGCCTTAAAGGGGTCATATGATGCTTTTTTAAAGATCATTATTTTGTGTATTTGGTGTAACAGAATATGTTGACATGCTTTAATGTTCAAAAAACACATTATTTTTCAAATACTGTACATTATTGTAGGTCCTCTATGCCCCGCCTCTCTCAAACGCTTCGTTTTCTACAAAGTCCCTCCTTCCGACAAGCGCAGTCTGCTCCGATTGGCCAGCTGACCCAGTGCATTGTGATTGGCCGAACACCGCAAGCACTCGTCGGAAATGTAACGCCCCTTACCATAATCGCGAGCTTCATCTTTCAAAATAAATGTAAAGACAGTAAATAATGTCATTAGTTTTACCATCAGTTCAAGCCCGAAAGGGGAACAGACACAGTAATGATGCAGTACACAAGCCGCTGTTAAGACAGCTGACTCTACTGTGATGTGATGCTGGAAAACTTGAAATCGCATCATATGACCCCTTTAAGACTCAACATAAGAGTCATTCGATTGGGAATCAGACATTACTGATTGAGCAGTATGTTGTTGATTCACTAAAAATAACCGACACAGAAGACTTAATCGTTTAGGAATCCGACTTCCCTAATGTGTTTGATTCACTAAAAAGAGCCAACTCATAAGACTCAATCGTTCGGGAATCATAATACACTGATTGAGCTGTTTGCTTTTGATTCACTAAAGAGAACCAACTCATAAGACTCAATCAATCAGGAATCAGACTACACTGACAGAACTGTGCATTTTGCGCTGTAGATTTAGTATCAGTGTTCAAAATGGCCAAATATCAGCTGATTAATTCGCCTGAATTAACTGTATAAGTCTATCATACATTCGTCTTAATGCTCTTATATTTATACATTGTGGAATTAGCCTAATGCAAAGAAACATAATAGCCAGATAAAAAAATAAAAAAAAGTGCATGCACGCATATATACAATATTCACAATATTTAATATTGCTTAGTTGTATATTGCTAACAGAATCCTCTTAAATATTCAATATATTGCCCAGTCCTAGTTAAAGTATATTATTATAAGTGAGAATATTATTAGTGCGTCTGCTGACATTCTTACCGGCTTCCTCTGCCGTCTGCTTGGCTTGCTGTGTTTTGGCGTACAGCTTGAAGTATAACAGAGTGACATTATTTATACAACAGAATGTCTTTGTACGGTCATTCACATCTTACAAGCATAATACATAATACAAACAGCTAAAGGGCTCTTCTCTCTTTTTATAGCAGTTCTCTAAAAGTAGCTCTGTCTCTGAAGAGATGAAGACTGATAGTTGACTCGCTACAAAAGGTTTATAGCCTTTCAACAGCTCCAGAGTCTTGTCCTCAGGGGATTACAAATACTTCCAACATTGCTGCCATGTTTTACAATGATTCACAGCGCTGTACATGCTCTGGCAGTCATCTGAACCCATGTGCGGCCTTCATGGTTTGTTTTGCATGCTGCTTTGCTGTACTAACTCATTTGCCTCCTCTCAAGAGATGCAGCTCTATGGAATTTAGGCCTGAATTTTTTGCTTTTCACTCCATTTATAAAAGAAAGTGTTCCAGGTAAACATTATGTTCTATAATGTTTTATATATATA